TGGCACTTAAAATACCAGTGCCATAGCTTTCAATATCTCAGCAACACACAAGACATCACAGTATGACGACTGACAGGTGGCCTTAAATGAATAGTAAATGAAATGTAGTATCACATTCCTGGAGCATTTTCAGAGAACAGCACCTTGACGGATGCAAGGGTGGTAATTCCCACCACATTTCCATTTAACTTACCTATTCAGCCTGGGTAAAATTAGGATGAATCTTACAGAGAATGACAGTGAATTATCATAAACATAACCAGATGGTGGCTGCAATTGCAGTTGTTGTTCCATATACAGTTTCATTGCTTGAGTAAAGCAATGAAAAAAAATACATTTCCTGGTACTAGTATGCACTTATTGGTCTGGTCAATGCCTCTTTCTAAATTCCACTTTTGAAATATCACCAGAAGCAGTTTGCTTCATAACAGCCCTAAATGAATATGCACCAAACAAGAGAGCTATGAAATGTGTAAAAAGCAAAAATTTATAGAAAGCAAAAACATATACTAAAAGAAGAAATAGGCAAGTCATAATTATAATTAAGAGATCTGAACACTTCTTTCAATAAGAAGTTGAAAGAAAATTAGCAAAGATATAGAACATAACACCATCAACCAACAGAATCTAATCAAGATTTATGAAAAACTAATCAACAATAACATAAGTGCCCACATATACCCATAGGACTAAATAGAGTCTATACTGGGCCAAAAAAAACTCAAAAAAACTGAAATAAGTAAAATCATACCTACTGTATTTTCCAAATACAATAGAATCAATAACAGAAATATAGCAAAAAAAATCTCCAACTGTTGGGAATTAAACAATAAGTTTAGTAATAATCCACAGGTCAAAGAGGAAATCTCAAGGAAAATTAAAAAAATAAAAACTTGAAATGAATGAAAGTAAAATTTAAAATATACCAAACATTGTGGGACAGATAAGTTATAGCACTAAATACACACCTTAGAAAAGTGGAAAGGTCTCCTGTCCCAGCAGAAGAATTCAATTCAGAGGACAGCACTGAAGCTACAGCTCAGGGAAGGGACATATCTGATCAGAGCACACAGGAGCAAATGAAGGGGGGAGGGACAGAGAGTGGAGAACATCCTGGCTCACCAAGCCCTGAGGACCATAATCCTGCTCAGAGCAGCCAATGCACAGAGGATCATAAGGCAGGCCCCTTCATGAGACACTTCCCTCACTGACCCATAGCACTAAGGAAGACAAC